TTCTATCTTCACTTGGGTGAGAAATGGCACAGCACAGTTAAGGAATGGGGAATGGTGTAGGTAATGCAAGAATGTCTTCTCTTCCCTTTTCAGCACCTCTTTCCTTGAAATAACATCAAAACCGGGTAGTATGATCATCCATCTGATTTTTGGTTTTTCTGAAGTTGCTTGTGTGTGTGCATGGACAGTTGTTGAATTTGGTGTTCATTTGGCGATTGCTGGAGATTTCTGTTTGGTCATCTTACTCTGTGCTCTCTCTTGAATATTTGTAATTTAAAATTAAGTCATTTATTTTGGAAAATTTGTTGTGAATAGGCATTAAAAATAGGTACATTTGTGCAAGATTATCTCAGCAATACACATATGTGAGCCAGATAACTAGGTCTGTGAACTTATCCTGGAGAAAGTACTACATACCTCTTTGGTAAATATTACTATGGTTACCTTTGGAGTTCTCCTCTTGGGAAGCTATGCAGTGCCAGTGCCCAGTCCAGACTTCAAAGCAATTTTGGAACTCTATTTCTGGAATGGCCATCAGAACTAATGTCGTGTGAGGTCAGACAGGTAAGTTTGGGAACTCATCCTAGAAAAAGTGCTACCAGCAATACCTTATTGCTAAATATCACTATAGTCACGGTCAACATATTCCCCTTGGGAAGTTATGCACTGATGCCAGCACCTTTAAAGTTCACCCTTCAAAGAACTTTTGGAAACTTTTTCCAATAAGGTATGTAGCACTTTTTCTAGGTGAGTTCCCAAACTTAAATGGTCCCACCCTTGTGAGTATATACACACAATTCTTCATGGGAAATTCATTGAAGAATGAAATCAATAGTTTCAGTCTTCCTTTGGCTTAGTAAAAAGTAACTTTAGTCTTTATAAAAATAACTAAGTCTTTTCTGTTTGTAAAATATAAAATATCACTTTGAAAATTATCATTAGACCATGAATGCAAATAGGAGATAATATACTCCATCTTCTTCATTTATAAATGAGGAAAGTGAGGTCCAAATTAGGAATGGCTTTCTTAAAATTATGTGAGCAGTTAGTAGCAAAGCTTGGATATTAATCTATGACTCCTCATTTCCAGTTCAGTGATTTTTCTCATTGTCCCTACTATCTCCATCTCAGCTTTAATATTTCCTTTTATTCTTCATTTGAGCTAAGTGTTCTTTCTTATTAAATTGAAAAAATATTGATTTTTTTAAAAAACAGAGCATTTTCCATTCTAGCAGTGGAAAAAAAGACTGTTATGTAATTGTGAAAGGTCAAATAGAGAACCTATGAAAAATGGTATCTACTCTTTTTAAAGAATTTACTGTAGGGTGGCACCTGTGGCTCAAAGATGTAAGGCGCCAGCCCCATGTACCAGAGGTGGCGGGTTGAAACCCGGCCCTGGCCAAAAACTGCAAAAAACCAAACCAAAACAACAAAAAAGAATTTATTGTATACATGTCTCTGTGCTAAATGTCTTACAAACATTAGCATATCTAAACCTTACAACTAACTTATACTGTCATTGATCAAACGGTTGATTTTTATTTAAATTATATGCAGATAATGTGAGTTCTTTCTATCTTTGATTGATTGAAACATGAAGTATTGCCATAGAATTCATAACTCATTTTTGGCTTTTTTCTTTCTTTTTTTTTTTTTTATTAAATGATAGCTGTGTACATTGATGCAATCATGGGGTACAGTGTGGTGTTTTCATATACACTTTGAAATATTTTCATCAAACTGGTTAACATAGCCTTCATGTCATTTTCTTAGTTATTGTGTTAAGACGTTTATATTCTACTTTTAGAAAGATTCATTTGTACCCTTGTAAGATAAACCATAGAGGTGATCCCACCAATCACCCTCCCTGGACCCATCTATCCCCTCCCTCCCTCTCCCCCTCCCCATATTCTTAGGCTATAATTAGGTTATAGCTTTCATATGAAAGCTATAAATTAGTTTCATAATAGGGGTGTGTACATTGGATACTTTTTCTTCCATTCTTGTGATACATTGCTAAGAAGAACATTTTCCATCTCCATCCATGTAAACATGAAGGAGGTAAAGTCTCCAATTTTTGGCTTATTTCAAAAGGTAACTTTTACTATGGAATTTCAGTTGCCATAGGAGTTTAAGTTATTCTGCAAAAATGTTTGTTGTATCCATAGAGATCTGTATTGGAATGTGAAATTATCCCTGTGTTTTAAATCTATAAATATAATTTAAGATAATTTATTGTCATGAATGTGTTCATATGTTTATATATTTCCTATAACTAATGGAGAGTAATTTGAATCTACATGTCCCAAAATGAGTAAAGCAAATAACAGTGTTAAAAAGATTGCTCAGAAAAATATGGATTAAATAGCCTGAAGAAAAAAGTGTGACTCTTTACTATTCTTCTAGTCCGTGAAGAACTATTTGAGTGAAATGGTAACCAGCTGTTCTCTGCTATTCACAGCCAAGCGAATACAAACACAAATTTAAATTGCAGAAACTCTTAGCAGTCTCATGAATAAAATACATTCTTTCTCATTTTAGATACACAGAAAACCAACAGATTTTCAAACGAAAATATGGACAAGCAGGGAAATCTCATTATCTCCTACAGTAAAAATTTGAATTAAAGGATTTTGTACTACAGTTTTCTAAGATCCTACTGTATGTGTGTGTGTGTGTGTATGAAGTTTACATATACGAGTCCTTGACTGAACCAAAAAATTAAGTAGCCACTGGAACAGTGCTTGGCTCACTCAATTTTATTGTTGGTAAAAGCAGAATTCGATCAGTTAAGTAAAAATGGCATTTGAAAATATATGTAGATAATCCCAAAGGTATAGAATAAACCTAAGTGCTCATCAATTGATGAGTGAACAAAGAAAATATGGTATATATATAGCATGAAGAACTACCCAGTGATAAGAAACAGTGAAATAATGTCTTTCAAAGCAACTTCGATGCAACTGGAGGTCGTTATCCTAAGTGAAGTCACTTAGGAACAGAAAAGTAAACATGTCCTCACACACAAGTGGAAGCTAAATTATGGTCACCCAAGGACACACAGAGTGGTAAATGGACAATGAGGTCTCAGAAGGGGAGAAGGTGAATAGGGTGATGAATGAAAAGTTACCTATGGACTAGCACTCTGGGAGGCTGAGGTGGGTGGATGCTTGAGCTCAGCAGCTAGAGACCAGCCTGAGCAAGAACGAGACCCCATCTCTACTAAAAATAGCCAGGTGCTGTGGCAGAAGCCTGTAGTCCCAGCTACTCAGGACGCTGAGGCAAGAGGATCCCTCAAGCCCAAGAGTTTGAGGTTGCTGTGAGCTATGACGCCTTGGTCCTCAATCCCCAGGTGACTGAGGGAGACTCTGTCTCAAAAAAAGAAAAAGGAAAAGGAACGTTACCTATGGGGTACAATGTCTACTATTTGGGTTGTGGGTACACTAAAATCCCACTCTTCACCACTGTCCAGTGTATGCATGTAATGGAATTAAATTTGTACTCTCAAAATCTATTAAAATTTTTAAAAAGAAAAAAAGAATAGTGTCAGTAATGAGCAGAGATGGCAGGAGTTTAACAAGACAGTGGCTCCTGATCAAAGGTGGCAGAGTGGAACAATAGATTGCCTCTTCTGGGACCGGCCCCTCCTAAGTAACCAAGCTCCGCAGGGTCTAGAGGTAAACCAGAGAAATCGTCTGGCTTATAGAATGTTAGGATTGTTTGTTAACCTCAAGATGCTCACTGACCTGACGGGAACAAGACTTTGTAGTCAGGGCTCTTCACCCATTACTGTAACATTTAACCTTGTTGATATTTCTAATACACAATTTTTAGGAATTGTTTTCTGTGTCTTTATAACCTCATCTCTTCTCTATGGCCCAACACATAGCAAAAGTTAAATAAATGACCAAATATGTTGAATCCTGGAGCTATATGGCTATAAAATGCCCCAGCAATCACCTAGTCTAAAACTTTTTTTGAGACAGAGTCTCACCACACTAATTCTAGAGTACTGTGGCACCACCCTGCCTCACAGAAACTTCAAACTTCTGGGCTCAAGTGATTCTCCTGCCTCAGCCTCTCAAATAGCTGGTACACTAGGCTCCCACCACAACATCCAGCTAATTTTTCTATTTTCAGTAGAGATGGAGTCTCCCTCTTACTCACTCCTGAGCTCAAGCAATCCTCCTGCCCTGGCCTCCCAGAGTGCTAGGGTTACAGGCAGGAGCCACTGTGCCTGGCCCAGTCTAACACTCTTATTTTTCAGGCCTGGAAGCTGAGACAGATAGTGCAGCAACTTGCTTAACTTCACAGAAGCGATTAATCAAAGAGCTAGGGCTAGAATGCAGATTTGCTGACACTCAGTTCATGCTGACTTGATTTAAAGCCATAACATTTTAAAATCCATAACTTCAGAGCTACAGGTCCTCATTCATGGGACTCATTTCTGGGACTGTGATTCGTTCTTAAATGAGTTGTAACTGTGAAGAGAGGAGAGAAGCTATCAGCCACTCTATCTTCTCTGGTGTCAGGACAACCCTCCCACGTGCCATGGGACTGACCACAGTCTGTGACAAAAATTGAGGATTCTTTACTGTAAACCTTGAGAATGAGTTAACTCAGGATTGCAATAGAATAAACCCAAGTAAAGTTTTTTCTGAAGTGTTAGCAGCTATATTCTAAAACAGGATCTTAAATAAGTCCATAAGGCTTTACCTTCATCTTTTGCTATAGAAAGATTTTCTGTAACATTCTATCTCTTATTTATAATGCCTATTTTCAGATCTAAGAGCACAGAAAGCCTCCAAGGCTTACAATAGAGAGTTGCTTATAAAGGTACCTTAGGGGGGTTTATTTTTAAATATTTAAAATTTATCCGATGTCAAGTTAATGGAAACCAACAGATTAAAAACACATTTTTTTCTCATTAGTGAGGCTCTTTTTCCGTGTTTGTTTTCATGCTTTAAACCCTAATTATTCTTATTCTTTTTCCTTTTTAGGAAAAAGTGGTCCACGGTGTGTACATGCCCCGAGGTTATCTGGAGTTGATACCGAATCCCAGGGACAATGAAGTGAACCACATAAGAGCCACATGCTTTAACAGTGACATCGTCCTTATGCCAGAGTTGTCAACCTTCAGAGTTTTGCCGTGGGCTGAGAGAACTGCCAGAGTGATATGCGACACCTTCACTGTGACCGGGGAGCCTCTGCTGACCTCCCCCAGGTACATTGCAAAGAGGCAGCTGAACCGGCTGCAGGACGCTGGCTTTTCCCTGCTCTCCGCCTTCATCTACGATTTTTGCATTTTTGGTGTGCCTGAAATTATCAACTCAAAGACCATATCTTTTCCGGCAACTACGTTACTAAATAACCACGACCAGCCCTTCATGCAGGAACTCGTGGACGGCTTATATCACACAGGAGCCAATGTGGAGAGCTTTTCCTCCTCTACCAGGCCCGGTCAGATGGAAATCTGTTTTCTGCCCGAATTTGGCATCAGCGCAGCTGATAACGCGTTTACTCTCAGAACTGGCGTCAAAGAAGTGGCCAGGAAATACAATTACATTGCCAGCTTTTTCATCGAGACCGGATTCTGCAATTCCGGAATTTTGTCCCATAGTCTTTGGGACGTGGGTGGGAAGAAAAACATGTTCTGTAACAGTTCTGGAATTGAGCAGCTCACGGTCACCGGGAGAAAATGGTTGGCAGGACTCTTGAAGCACTCCGCAGCGCTCAGCTGCCTGATGGCACCTGCTGTCAGCTGCCGCAAGCGGTACTCCAAGGAGAGCAAGGACCTGAAGGACAGTGTGCCCACAACGTGGGGATACAACGACAACAGCTGCGCGTTTAACATCAAGTGTCACGGGGAGAAAGGCACCCGGGTAGAAAATAAACTAGGCTCGGCCACGGCCAACCCTTACCTGGTGTTGGCGGCGACGGTGGCCGCAGGCTTAGATGGTCTTCTCGGCAGCGACGAGGCCTCGGCTGGTCCCGAGGGGAACACAGACCCTTACCAATCCAAACCTTCTGAGATCCCTTTGAAACTGGAAGATGCCCTCGTGGCGCTGGAGGAAGACCAATGTCTGAGAGAGGCCCTAGGGGAAACTTTTATTCGCTATTTTGTTGCCATGAAGAAATACGAGCTGGAAAATGAAGAAACAGATGCTGAGAGAAATAAATTCTTAGAGTATTTTATTTAGGATAGAGCGCTTAACTATTCCTTTAGAGATATGATTGCTATAGCTAATCTCCCAGAATGAAAAGATTGAATTTTTGTAATTAATGACAAGATTACAAATGCTTTTGTGATTTTTTTTTTGTCCCATAGAATACTTGCCAGATGACGTGGGACTGCTGAGAGGATTTTGATAACAGAAATAAACAATAAAGTTGTGGTGAAGCTGTAATATGCAAATTGACCAGATTTTGACAGTTAGTCATCATTTTTGTGTATGTTGACCTAGATGCGAATATTCAGGGTTTTTTGGCATTAATATATGGGCACATTTTAAAAAAAGACTTCAACACTGGAAAGCAAAATTTAAATGACTAAAAGAAAAATGAAAAGAGGTTATTTCAATTATACACTTAGGTTGTGACTGCCAGGGAGGCAAATATACTAACGCCATCTCACTAATCAAGATACAGTGAGGATCTAGGTTGGAAACATCATTATAATCTTTCTAAATGAGTTAAATAAGTTTCACAAAAATATGTCATCATGACAAGTCAGTAGAATTTTTCCCATAAATCTCTTCTCTTTTCTTCCTTCTCTGTTAGTTCCTGACAGGCTTAGGAACTTCAAGGATGTAACGTTCTCAAGTAACAAATTCATAAGAAAGAGAAGTAGATTGAGCAGAATGAGGTCAGATTTTAAAAATAGTCAAAGCCTTTCTTTAAACAATACTGAAGCCAGCCGGGCACAGGGGCTCACAGGGCTCACAGGGCTCACAGGGCTCACGCCTGTAATTTTAGCACTCTGGGAAGCCGAGGTGGGAGGATCACTGGAGTTCAGGAGTTCAAGACCAGCCTGAGCAGAAAGAGTGAGATCCCCATCTCTACCAAAAATAGAAAAATAAGCTGGGCATTGTTGCAGGCATCTGCAGTCCCATGTGGGAGGCTGAGGAAAGACCAACACTTGGGCCCAGGAGTTTGATGTAGCTGCGAGCTAGGCTGATGCCTCCCCACTCTACCCAGGGTGACAGAGTGAGACTTTGTTTCAAAAACAAAACAAAATGAAATTAAAAACAATGCCTCATGTAGAAGTTTGATACCCCAAATATATAGAGAATAGAGTATGTGTGTGTGTGTGGGGGGAGATGGGTGGGTGGGTGGCCACTGGCCACTTTGCTTGGCTCTTTGAAACTAGACGTCCCCCTGAGCCCTCCAGTGCTCTGGGAAGTGTGAACCACTGCCTAGTCAGGCAGGGCTGTGTTCACAGATGCATTTTGTATTTAAATGACTAATTTTGATTCCCACAGAGGTTGTTCTTTCATCAGAGAATCTTAAATGTTACCGACCTTTGTTTGAATAATAGAATACTGTGACTATCATTAAACTTTAGCTTCTTTTGGGAAGAAGTCCAAAATCTATCAACTGGCAAATGAAAACACTGTTCTATTGCTTAGGATCAAACAGGAGGTTTGGTGTTCAATTAAAACTTACTGTGGTCTCAATTTAGATAGCAAACACACAAGCAGAGAATTAGAATTTGGCTCAGCTCCTCCTATGAAAATTCTTAGTACTCAGTAGCTTCAATAGCAAACATTGGTCTGTCCTTCAGTAATTCCCCTCCTCTTTTCTCCTTTGAGCAGGAGAAGTGTGTCTGGTACATAAGAAGGTTCTTGTGTGGATTCAGGTGTAGAGAGAAAGGTAGGGCAGGGTGGATGGAGAGGGAAAGGAATCTGCCTGGAGACCTCAGGGAGAATGAACAGCCACACATCACATCGCCTGGGAGCTAGAGAGGATTCCCACGGCGGCAGGCTAGCTGTCGGCCAAGGTTTCCCCTCTGTTCTTAGTAATAAAACCACAATGTGTCTGCTGGAAACACAGTGAAAAATAAAAATGGCATTTCTGAGGCTTCATGCTCGAACGTGGTCATGTTAGTAGGCTGAGGCCAAAGCAATGTAAATGAGGGCTTCCTAGATGGCAGCTCTGGGAGATTCCCTGCAAAGACACAGGCTGTGAGCCCTGCCTTTTCTCTGTCCTGCCTTAACCTTCCTGCGGACTGGCCTACAGATAACATGGCTAGCTAGCATAATCTCCTTGGGAAGGGAGATTCCTGCACAAGACAGAGGGAATGAAGTGGAAATCTGCTTTGCTGAGTAGTTTGACGAAACCGCTTGCAGATTTTTACCCGAGAGAGAATCAAACTTCTATCTCCTGTAGGCTACAGTGTTTTAGGTTCTTTGTAACTTGCAATGTAACTCTCTTTCCTCTGTCTGTGTGTGTGTGTGTGTGTGTGTGTGTGTGCGCGTGTGTGGTCAGGGGGGACATTTGAGAGATTGGGGATGAAAGAACAAAACTAAAAGAACCAATGAAAGAACACTTTCTCCATGTTTCTACTGCTAAAAGTCAGAATCTGAGTTAGGGGGATCCACACACTCGAAAAAATCACATGGTCTCTCATCCTAATGGAGCCGCAGACCCCTCCACACTCCTCGGGCCTTCCCGAAACACGTCTAGGGCTTCAGCTTCATTTTCTTCTAACGAATAAAAGATGCTACAAAATCCGTGCTGATCACAGTGTCTGTAGCCTTATTTTTTTTCCCCTTATACATTATTAGCATACAAACACAATACTCAGGATGCTAGTGTGAAGAAATTATATGGCTGGGGACACAGGCTTCGGCGTTAGCTGTATGGCAGCGAGCTGGCAGGAAATATTCAGCCTCAGATTACTCATCAGTGTATAGCGGGGGGCAGTGGCCGTCTCTGCAGGATTTCAGTTCAGTGTGTGCTGATGTATATTCTTTTTCTTTAAAGCAAGCCGAAAGGAAAGACTGGTCAAGACGAGGGCTAAAGACAAATTGGCTAGATAGATGTAAAAATCCAGTTGTCGGCTTTTCTATTTCTTTTATCTGTTCAAAGGGTTTTTATTGCTGAGGGGACTTTCTGTGGATGTTTCTACCTTCTTGGTTTAGGTGAAAAGGGTCAGACATTTATTCAACAGCATGTCTTGAGCGCTTTTTGTGTGCTGAGGCTTCTGCGGGGAGCCGTGGTGAGAAGGAAGACCAAGGCAGAGGGAAAGAGCTGACACTGAAGGAATTTAGGCTCTGTGTGTCTTAAGCAGAACAGAAATGATTTTTTTCTGTAGGTCTAATGCTGGAGGAAAAAGAAAAACTATTTAGAAGGCTGCTTTATGACTTGAAAAGGGTGCTTTATGCATCTCTCGGAAGAAATTACTTTCTTATTTTCATTTACTATAATTGTCCTAATCAAAGCTTAGGGGGAAATGTGATTACTGAATTTAAAGTTGGTTATTAAATGAGTATACATAAGAAATGTAAATTAAAAAGGATAACGTTTTAAGCCTAGCAATGAAAACAGTAGTATCCTAGTAAGAAGTTTCTGTTTTCGAGGACATTTTATGATCTAAAATTCCATGTTACAGTGTCTGTCTGAATAACAACAGAGTTTGAAATGACGATTTGAAGGCAATGAAAGCTTTTCAAACTTTAATATGAGTAAAAACCAAAAGCACACAGTAAAGTCTGGGCTTATTAGCAACACAAAACCGTCTACTGAAATATCTCTAGTTGGCCGTTTAACAAAATAGACTTAGTACGATGTTTATAATGCAGTTATTCTTCACAATACCCTTAACCTTGGGATTCCTCCTATAGATGTCAGAACTGTGTCTTTAATCATTATGTGCACAGGACCTTCCCTGTTACCAAGCTCTTCTCATGTTGCCTATGTTTAGCGGTTTACATGGCATTTCCTGATAGGATGCAAGTGCAGAGAATGAAGGGAACAGATCTTCCTCCTGTTTATGTTATATTTCTTGTTCCTTGCGTATGTTCTGGAATTGAATAAGTGCTCAATCAATCAATCAGTCAATGCCTGTGGTATATGCATAATGCCATACAATGCTTGTCTGGTGTCACACACATATTCACACACCCGGAGAGAGACAGAGGGGTAGAGATGGAGACACTGAGAGAATCAGTACTCTGTGGTTTGTGATTGGCCCTCCAAGTTCTGCCAGTAGTTGAACATCTGTGGGTTTTCTTTTTCTGGAGTAAACAATTTGATTCACTTGATGGGAATTTCAAAAGAAACCAAGCAGGGTGAAGTGGTCGTGCTTTGGACCACGCGGAACTTTCATAGCTTTTTGTGGAATTCCTCCCCTTAGGACGCCTGTCTCCCAAAGTAGGAGTCAGAACCCCACCTTTCCAGTTTTTCTTGTGGCTGCAGTACAAATATTGTATTAGTTGGGTTGAGTTACAAAACCCTCACCCATTCCACTCTGGCTAAGCTTCAGGGAGGCCCAGCAACAGGGGTTCCAGTCTGAGCATCCTGGGGTGGATTGCTGGTGCCCAGTGTTAGTGGCTACAGAAGTGTCTCCGGAACAGTCAGGCAGAGCTTCCAAACTCGAGTTTCTGGCCTTCAAGAAACTACCTAGTATCTTTAATAAATTTCTTTTCTGTGTAACATAGCTGGAATTAAAAACAAAAACAAAAACAAAAAACCCAAAGCCTGATTGAAAATAATATATAAAAGGACATCCAAAGAGCAAGGAAACTTCACTATGGAAAAGTCAGAGAATTTGCCTTAATCAGAAGACTAGGACAGATTTCATGCTCACATTTGATTTGATTAAACAAAGGTTTATTAAGTTCCTTGCAGATAGCATCCATCATGCGGGTGCCTTCTCATCCATTGCCTTATTTCATGCTCTCTACAACTTTATGAGAGTGGTACGCTCATTATTTTAAAAGCAAAAGATTTAAGGCCCAGAGAGATTAAGTGCTGAAAGAACTGGGAATCCTATCTTTGAGTTCCATGGTCTGTATCCAAATGCTGTTTGCTATACAGTCCCAGCTGAGCAAAACCCTGAACATTTTGCTGCATGTTATATTTTAATTTTAGTTCTTGGTAGCAACCTGCATGGAGGTAGTTACATAATTGGACCTCTCCTTTCTGTTAATATGCAGTTCAATTTAATATATTTTTATTGAATTGTAATAGGTCAGAA